TTCAGGAATGCAACTACCGCATAATAGAACAGACCGTAGTTACTGTTAGAAATAGTCAGTATGATGTTTCTTATTTGCATTTGTTCTTTGATCCACGTGTTCAGGTGTCGCTCTCTCAGCAATTCCAAGAAAGCTTCCCTCCACGCCTCTTTGCGTACTTGTTCAGTTATCGTTCAAGCTTCCTTGCACACGTTTCTGATCAATAGGTTAAAACTTTAGTTGAGGGATATACGTTATAGCAATAAATTGATACAATGGCTGTGATTTTAGCGGTATTAGTATCGTAGACTATGATTGCATTAAGGTAGCATTATATTGCTGTATAGTTGTGAACGTCATATAATTGGTGCAGTAAACTGTAATGGCAGGTAGGTATATTTACCAGCCTGCACTGATTTGCCATGGTGATATATGGTTGAATTGACATCCGATTGCACTTTTTATATTCTGCTAATATACAGATAATTGGGAAAATATGGAAAGAAACACTCAATTGTAACCGACAACAGGAAGGGTTTACTGTTATCCTTTATGGATAAAAGGAATGAACCACTAGATAACATGTTTAGAGTTATGGTTAATGCTCAGTATTTTTTGTAGGAAAAAAGTATTGCCTGAGACGTGTCTCTGACTGTGTGCGTGGGGAGCGGTGGTGCAGTAGTTAGCTCACTGTGCCAAAAACCCGGTAATCCAAGTTCGATTCCTGCTCACGACCATAACAGTGGCGAATATTTGCACTGGTTCTGGGCCTCTCCTAGGTAGACTGAGACCTAAATTAGTACCCCGTGCGGTGTGTAAACATCAGCACTGGGAAGTGCTGTTGGCCTACCCACCCCATGTGCTGTGTTGGCCTTCACAGGTGCTCATTAACAGCACTTGCCCCTACAGTCTCTTAAAATACTATACGCGGGACCTTTCTTTTCATGTGTATACACCTCAGGGAGGTCATGCACACTGTGTAAATGCCACGATTACGCACACACTGCCCTTTTGCGAAGTCACGTGTTACATTGTTTTTAGGACCAATCTAACACTCCGTTTTTAATCTACCATTACGCTGTAACACGCATCATTTTGCAATGTACAGAAATACCGGAGACGTTGTTGTGCCTCCCCAGTGTTGTGTGCTCCCCGCATCACGGCCAAGTAAGGAACATGTGAAAGAGAGGGAGTTGAGTGGATACAGCCATCCAATTATCCACGAAATAATTTAATTACCTATGTTCAACGGACATGCATTCGAATGTCTTAAGCTTGCGCGTGTACCCACGAATGTGCATGTACAATTAGACACGCACAATCTCACACGCGCAGGCCCATAAGGTATGCTCCTCCTAAGAAAATTACTTTTTTATATTACGTGAAAATTTGGTGAGCATTAAATAGTGGCAGTGTAGTGGGCTAGTATCATCCCGTGGGGGTGTTTTCAAAAGTATTAACGCAACCGATTTCATATGGGAAAATATTTCGCCACGGTTTCTGTTCAAAATAAAAGTGTGCAAAGCATGTGTTTACCAAGTACTATATAATAACATCGGGTACAGTTACTCTCAATGGGTTTGTGCACAAGCATACAATGGTGGAAGCATACACTAAATTGAAAGTTCATGTATTGTTAATATCATATATGATAGCTATGATAATGTGTATTACCTGTCATATCCAATTCGTTGAGACCGAAATTTCATTCAGAGTAGATCGGATGACTCAGATTAAGATTTCAATTGTCGTTTTGTAAATTATCATCGAATACCATACTCTACCAACAACAGAACACCGAATTACGTACCAGTTTTTATGCAAGTAGCATAAAACAAACTTGGGTTTTTTCTGATAACAAAAACTGTTTCTCCCTAAACTTTAAACAAGGTAAAAATAGCAAACTCCGTCACCGTTGCGATAGCTCAACTCGATTATATATATGTACACTCTCTTGCAATTCAAGGGTTTAGATTTTGTAACCTGACTTTACTTGCAATCACTGACATCAGCAGAGCACCCATGTGAAAGCGAGTTCACCTTTCATAATGCGATACAGTTCATTTGTAGAAAATAAACAAATGAGAGGAAAGCAAGTGGGCTTTTGACCAATAGATTTGAGAATAAGATAAGCCCCACGGTGGCAATATCTTAAACCACTGGCCTGAACATCAACTACAGTACAGTACATTGCGTGTGCCTATGTTTGTCTCTCTCTATGTATCTCTGTGATATCTGTCTGCTTATATGTCTGTCTATATGTCTCTGGTTCTGTGTTTTATCTCTCTCTCAAATTTAGCATTCTCAGGAAGAACGTAATCTAACCAGGTAGGGTGGTGACTGTTATCCGACTCTCTGTTGTATTACATTACATTTCTAAGTATACTAGATTTGTGTTTCTATTTCATTTATACCTGATGATGATTGCTTGTGATTACAATCGAAACGTCGTATGCTAGTATTTACTTTATTATTTTCTTTTTATACGTGACTTTACCGAAAGAACCAAAGAGTACAGTACAGTATTATTAGCATTATCGTCAAACATTATGGAATTTAACTGTGTATGAAAACGTATGTTTCACAGACTATTTTAAAATTATTAAGCCCCCATGATGTAATGCCTTTCAGGTTGATAAGTGCATTTCAAAAAAAAAATCACAAAAATAATCAAAGATAGCTCTTTGTTAATACCGCTGCTGGATGAAGGTCTACATATGCTGGTCAGTTGTGGTATATTGTTTGATCATACTTGCCACTGATGTTATCTGTGGCTGGGGATCAAACTTGGGTGGCTATGTTCATATCGCAGCTCGCGAAGCAATGCACCACCGTTGTTAACCAGTGCACAAGCTCATACAACACTGCCAAATTGCCTGAAACTGTTTAACTGTACTGGCCTGCACTGAATAAGTTACACACCGGTTTACTCAACGGCTTACTTAAAAATACAAAGTGACACACACACACACGTTTGGCTTGTATAACATAAACAAAGTGTAGCATTTACATGTAAATATCCAATTTGCTCTGTCAAAGATGATCGTAAAATATTTCAGTAACGTAACCGGTATTAATGAATAGCATTATCGCTGCGTATCTAAAGCGTACACAATAAAAGCAGACGTGTAAAACGTCTCCACGTAGCCCACGCTTCATCCTCACTGGCCTGCCTGTTTGCTTAGTACTTGCCACTTTTACTTTTTTTTTCACATTTACAACTCTGGAAAGGAACCAAGGGGAGCCTAGCAAAAAGATGCTTTCAAGTGCTTAACCTAATTTGGTAGTATTCCTCTCTCAAAATTACAAGCGCCTCTCTACCCCCGTGAGCAATGGCCACTGCTTTGCTTTTCAAAAGACCGACGGCGAAGTGAGAGTGTTGACAAACATCACGAAAGCTGACATTGCCTATACTCGGCGCCCCATCATTTACCGCTGGTCTGTTAAGTGACAGACAATTGTAGTATACGAGTTTACATTGGCAGGGCAGTTTTTGTTATAAACAGGAGATTGTAGCCGGGTGGGCAGGGAAGCTGTGTTTGGAGGGAGAGCCAGAGCAGGCCTGTAGGCAAAGGTCCTTCTACCCCATCTAAGGTCAGGTCTGCGAGCTGTAACAACCTGCCAGGGCACGAGTGGCAAGGAATTTAATTGACATTGGCAGTCTGGCCCTGACTGTGGTAGGGATCTATATAGGAGGTCGACAAAACAGCTGAGTGACAAAACCTAACAAGGCAGTTCAATTCCGAGTCGCCCATGTGTGGGCTACGCGAGAAATGACCTGTAGCAAATTTGAGAACTTGCGGGACTACTGAAACGACAAACGATAGCTGGGCACTGTGGCTGCTCCTCGAACGGTGCAGGGGTATACGAATGGGTGGGTGGGTGGTGTGTAGGGAGCAGGAAAATGAGTAAAGAGCAAAATCCGTGCCTATCGCCAGTGGAAAATTCTCGAGACCTCTAACCTCCACACCAGGAATGTGGGCCGATTTGAAAGTGCACTGAATTATGGAGCGCAAATATGTCACCGTGCTTTTATAAATAGGACGTAAGGAAGGTACAGCCATTCTCTGCGGAAGCACTAATGAGCCTTTAGATTAATTCCCTCCATACCACATAGTCCATGGTGATGGTGATGATGAACTATGCCGTTCACTGCCGAGGGACTCAATACTGGTTTCAAACAAAACTGGGTTCAAAAGCACGGGACAGCAACTGCCTTGCTATCACTGCGATGAACAGAGAGGGTGTCCAATGAAAAAAAAAATCACTGGCGCTGTACACAAGCGGCCTTAGATCTCATAAAAATGTGGTGGTTGCGGGGGAGAGGGGACGGGAGGGGGGAGTGAAGATAAACCGTTAAAATGTTGGGATGACGTACCTTGGGTTTGACTCAGGTCGGTCTCCCACTCATCTCCTACCCTGTCTTGCCTTACAAGGGAATGTGCCACAGCAGGGCTGTGGCAGATGCCTTGTTTCTGCAAGTGCTTGCTCGGTTTACATTGCTGCCTGTCCAAACTGCATAACGTATCACGTCGTAATTGCCCATATGCCCAGGTCTGGAATAGCCGGAGGACGTTTTCCTGCAGCCTCTCCAAAACGTAATGTGCCTTCCCATCCCCATCTGACTGTGTGCTAAAAGTCAGGACAACAGTTATGTTTTAAAATAATATCATGTGTAGCATATTGAAGTTGAAATGGGTACACCAACACGATATACAGCACTCTCTGTGTGTCATTTCAGAGTAGATAGAAAAAAAGTACAACTTCATGGCTGTTTTAAGTTATTTTTCCATTGGAATGTTATAATGCACAAGTTGTTCCGTTATTGAAAGACATTTGGTTTTTTTATGAAATTATAAAGTCTTGGATGTACGTTTCGTGAACAACAACTTCGCTGCATAAAAGCAAAACACAAATGTGAAATGAAAACATATCCATACGTTCTAGTTGGGCACACTGGAAGCAAATTACACTTGAATGCTTTGAAAGTTTAAAAAGGGTAAAGAAAACACAAGTTGTACCTGTTTAGATGTGAGCCTGATAAGAGATCCTTCGTATCCCTGTAAAACACAACACAGGCAACATTTAATAAAAACAGACGAGTGGAACGCAAACCCGTTGATGTAAACCAAGAGAGGTGGAGACTCGCCTCCCAGCGAATCGAAGGACCGTCACGGTTCACGGTTGTGATTCAAATCAAGTATCAATTATTTTCTAATATTTTCATTACATCGTGGTGAATAGTAGCACCTCCAGTGGCTGCAGCAGAGCGGATGAGACCCAATTACATACAATATACACAATAAAAAAACAACACATCAATTCTTACATCTGCGATTCGACGCATTCATCGTGATCCTAAAAGCAAACTATTAATCGTCAAAATAGTACGTGAATACGAAACACACTGCACGAAAGCAAAGATACAATTCACCGTGAGAAGAAACTATAAAAAAAAGTGTGTACGTGATTTACCAGTACAGTACGGCATGAGCCTAAGACGAAAAATAAAATAAAAACGGTGGTCACCGTGAACCATGTTTCATTATAATCAGGACAGGTCTGTTCTAGCACCAATGACCTTGACCAAAAGAAGTGAATTTCATTCCTGGTTCAGTAATGGTGCTGTTATGGCGGAGGCGCGAGCCTGTCAGTGCCAAATGAGTAAATGTGTAAATCGTCCACTCTCGCTTTCAGACGGGGTAAGGACGAGGGGATCTGTTGGGAATGCCAAAAAAAAATCCAACGTGGAGAGAGAGGCCATCGTTCTATTGGAAGCGCTGTACGTGGCGCATACCTCTAAGGCACGCTCACTCGAGTGATATCCTCGTCATCCGCAGCGGCGCAATGGCACGGTCGACCGGCAGGTCGCGCGTGTTGGGGGCAAAGTGTTGACGTTAGTCCCACCTCTATCCAAGTTGCGTGCGCAGTGTGGAAGAGTAGGCCAAGCACACTACCCTCTTTCTAGAGCCCCCATCTGGCGGTGAGGCTCATGGAGTAATTGCAGGGCTGCACCTTTGCCTTGTGCACAGCACTGGGAGTATACCGTGATCTGCGAGACGTACACTGCTGGTAACGCTTTTAAGAGAAGACTGTTCTGTTTAATATGTTGTCGGTTGATCTGTCTACCCGTGCAGGATTTAAATACCTTGCGAGCACTGTCTATTTGTGTCAATCTCTTTATTGGGAATGTAGCAACTCAAGCTCACAGCGATTTGATGAATTGTCACGATTTGGTTTTGTAAATAGATTAATACATATATAGGTTATATTTTTTGCCTCCTCGTTTGTATTGTTTTTATTATTATATGTTTGCCTAGTTTGTACAGTTATTTTCTTCCATTAGCCTAAATAATCCATTCTTACAGCCGCAATATGTGTGTATCAAGAACATAAGAATCGATTTAAATTGTCTCAAATAAATCATTATACAATGCCTCTGCTTTATTCAGCAATCAAATATCAAATTTTACTAATCGTCTGTGTCGGGTGGTGGCGAGTTTAACGACATATTTATATTCATGGCATTTCACCCCCAAAAAACGTTATTTAAATGCAGCGATTCATATGTTGCACACGTGCATGAAAGGCTTACTCCAGTGTTACCTGTGGCCTTATTGATAACGGCAGTGCAACAACAACATCGCATAACTGACCACCACATATCTGTGTCCTGACCAATTAGCCAGGAAACGCGCCAATGTTGGCATGTGGTTGGAAGCGTCCGGCCAACGTTGGCACAATGCTCAATGTTTACAGAGTTACCGCCTTTTCACATATCCGCCTATACCGCTGATGCGATGTTGTTCTATTAGCCTTGCATGTTTTGTTGTTGGTTGTACCACGTCGATGTACGGCCTTGCCATCCGGAACTTGACGATGCACACTTGTTTTTTTCACGTGTACTTTTTTGCTGTAACCAGGTTTCTATGGTGTACTCTGGTCCCCCCATTGACGATGACGATTTATTGCCCATTGGGTTTTACTTGTGGCAAAACTAAATCCTTATGGTCGGACATGTGATGTTATACTACACTGTAAATATGTTTTTAAAGTTACAATTCATAACTCCCGCTCCCCAGAAACCACTGGCGCGTTGTACCGGGCTTGTGTGCTTACGTCAGTAAAAACATGATAAAATAAAAATGTACAAAACATAAACCAACATTAATCTCCAGTTGCATCGCATGTTGTCAGTACTTGCAAATTACAGTATGATATTAACCTCATTAAATCTTCTGCAACGTGTTCAGATATTACAGCCTTGCAAACTGTATAATGAGATTAGAAAGCAATTGAGTTGAATACTTCATCAGCCCATAGATACAGAATGATTATCTTAACTAGGGAGATTCCTATTGTTGTACAAACAAAAAAAACCTCTCCATACCCATATTCTTAGGTTTTTTCGGTAAAGTCACGTAGGTAAAAACATTAAAATTAATAAAAGTAAAATAAAATAAAAATCACGACGTTTCGGAGGCAACACAAGCTTCCGTCTTCAGGTGGAACCGTCACAGCCACGACAGCTGTATCAAGTAACGCCGTGATTTTTATTTTATTTTACTTTTATTAATTTTAATGTTTAACCTACGTGACTTTACCGAAAAAACCTAAGAATATGAATCCTTGCAGTCACGAAAGCTTCAAATCTAGACTCTCCATACCCGTTACCCAAACCTGTCCATAAATCACAAATGTTCGTGACACGTTTCTTCTCTCGTCCGTGCAAGCACAATGGCCTGCTGCGTATAAAAAGACGTCTACAACTATTTTCAGTGGAACAAGCTTTCAACGGCAATCTGTTTCTATGTCGTGATAAAGGAAGGTGGTGGAATGGGGGGGCTGCCGTGGTGAAATGGTGAGCAATCCAGAGGTCACCGGTCTGTTTTACCCCACGGCACGGGAATTGAAAGTTTATTTTATCCCCCCCCCACCGCCTCTTTGTTGAGCAAGCATAATGAATGGGAACACAACAGTTGTATGTATATATGTTTAACACGTAGGCTTTCACGACCAATATTATCAATAAGAGGTTTTTTTTAGGGGGGGTTAGAGTGCGTTAATATAAATGTGTCGTTAAACCCGCCACCACCCGACACAGCCAATTAGTAAGGTTTTTCACGTGAATAAAACATGGCAATTGTAAATGTTGTGGGTTTACTCTCCAACACACCGGTTTGTTGAGCTAGTAACGAATCGGCATGTTTTGCTTACGTGAGACACCTTACTAATTGGCGGTGTCGGGTGGCGGTGGGTTTAACGACACATACTTACGCGATCTAACCCAAAAAACTTTGTTATGTATGTAGGTTGAACTTCTTTTGCACCGTACATAGTCAACCGTGCTAATTGGAGGTGCAGGTTAGTCTATCAGTAGGCCGTGGTTGGTGGGGTAAAGTGTGGGTGCACTCCCATCACTTCCAAGATAGTCTGGCCAAAGTGGAAAAGGAGGACCAAATATTCCTTCGCGAGGGCACTCTCCAGAGCTCGCTGCGGTTTGAGGTCCCTAATGCCAGCAGCGGCAGGCGGAAAGGCGACAGACGTTATATTACCCACAGCGCTCCACGTTCAGCGATCGATCCCCATGAATATTTACACTGACTGAAGAAAGATGTTGCCACTTGTAAGAAGAAATTAAAGGATCCTTTCACCGTGTCTACCAAAGATACAAACAGGGACAATTACTCGAGGTCACGGGTGAAGGCAGAGCAAACAGTATCACAAGCACAAAGTTCATCAACTCGTTGTTTTCCCCCCCTCCATTGAGTGCCCGTCTTCTGTAGGCGATGGCGTTAATATCGTTTTCCCGTAGGTCTTTGGCCAGGAAGTGACATTTAGGTCTTGAGAGCACTTCAATCTTCATAGTTGGACGTCTCGAAGGCCTCATCCAATTGGAAGACCTCATGCAATCGGTTAAACCACATTGTGTGCTCTGCTTCAATGGAGGAGGAATAGCACAACTACCCCAACTCTTCCTCTCCTGAAGTCCTCACTTGGCTATCAGACCTCGGCATTGACATTTGGCTCCTGAACATGTTGCCATATGCAAGAACATAATTTAGTGCCTGTCTCATTTGATCATTGATATATTTCAAGTAGACAATGTGTCACGACGGCTGTACTGTGCCAACACGCATCAAATGCTTCCTTCCGATCGTGCCAGTGTGTCTGCATAATCCATACCCCCCCTCCCCCCCAAAATACACCTTGTAGTTCCTCCAACTATGTGATCATGTTCCAAAACATATCAGCTACGATGACACGTATATTCTCCTCCCATACTTCAGAAGATAAGCACAAAGGACTTCATACTAGCTCAACACTTAGTTTACTGTTTTCGCCAAATAACATTTTTTTTTATGGGAATTCAAAAAATATATATGCATCTTTTATGAAGTGGACAATCGTTCTATGTTTGATGTCATGAAATTAAGTATCTGTCTATTCAGAACTCTCACCCCATCTGTTAGAGAATGGTCCACAGAAGCGGATATCATAGAAATACTTCTTAGATATTTTTAACAAACCTTATTTTATCCACACATACTAAGTAAGGGAAACACACACACATGCATACCCTGCCATAAAGTAATGTTTGTTTGCAAAAGCATAAATGTAGCTAAATTAAAACAACAACAACAACAACAAAATTAACGTGATGGTTTTTCGTTCAGACAATGGAGACCGGGCTGAGACTATCAACTCAGAACACTTGAGAGTGGGAGGAACTACGTTCAGAGTGGGAGGAGCTGCAGGTTGAGTGGGAGGAGCTACATGGTGAGTGGGAGGAGCTACATGGTGAGTGGGAGGAGCTACAGTGTGAGTGGCAGGATCCACATGACAGCGTCCTTGGCAAACGCAGTAGAAAACTGCACAATAGTATCACTGCAACCAATTTGAACTAAATTATAGTTAACTTTTGAACAAGCCTTTTATGCCTATCTTCTTCCCTGACATAATGAATCCTCCGAAGTTGTCTTGTTTGTTCCAAACGTTCGTCAGATTTGAAATGTGTGAACTGATATGTCCCACGTGTCAGGTTCAAACCAAGGAACTG